CATGCTTACTTCAGGTTTTATTTGGTTTATAACTATCTCAAAAGTGTGGGAAGCTGAAAATAACACTTCCTTTCTTATATTGCCATTCAATTATTAAAGGGATTGTGCCCTTTTATTATTATTTTTTTGGACGGTGTGAAAAAAACTGATCTGTAGTTTTCATACAAGTAATATTTTTTAAGCAGATGTCAAAAGGCAATTCATCGTCATGTTAGCATTAGCATTTTCAGAGAACTAAATGTTCCCTTACGAGACGTGTTTATTTTTCTCCTCTTTATGAAGAAAACAAAATGGTGACTGAAAGTTATGCAACAGAGTCAAAAGTCACAGGGCTCCAAACTGTGTGAGTGAGAGCAGCTGGAGTTAACGTAGGAACACATAATCCACAAGATGAAGTCGTCTAACTCATTGTTTCCACGGATGTGGTCATACTGGCTCTTAGGATGTACAAATGTGCACAAACTTAAAAAGACACACACACAAAAAAAAGACATCTTGAAGTTTTAAATTAGTTTTTTCATTGTAATAAGTCCCTAATGGTAAAATAGCTGGATCATCAAGAAATAAAGTTTTTCATTTGAGAAGTTTGCAAGGATGAAAAAAATAAATAAATCATTAAACCAAGTCAGAGTTTGGAGTTTCATCCAGAGTTGACCTTATGTGTTTTGTAACACCTCTCAGGTGTGTTTGTGTTGTAACCAGTGTGCTGCCTCAGTCTGCTTCTGGAGTGTCTTCGGCTGGGGCAGCGGGCGTCGCCTTCTGTTTATATATGAAGGTCAACAAGAAGAGTGCTATGTCGTGTGAGCACCAGTAGCTTGTGTGTGAGGTCACTGCCGACCAGTAGCGGCTCTCCACCAGACCCTCGCGGAGCTCGAAGTCGATACGCCTCTCCAGCTCCACTGCAGAATAACAGCCAGGTATTACAACCAGGAAATGACAATATTGCCCTTCTTAAAAGATCAAATGACTTCTCCTACAAACAGAATCCTCTACAGCTACAACTTACATGACTCAATAGTGGGAGAAGTGGGCCGGGTCATACTGGAGAGGCCATAGGATGACTGGCTTTCTGAGTGCTTTTCCTCCTCTTCCTCAGCATTTGCTCCGCCCTCAAGGCCTAAAGACACTGAAGGTTGGCTGTTTGAGCGGGAAAAACGAGAGAAGAGGATGCCTCCTATCCCTTTTCCTATGCTTGCAGCTCCTGCAGGTAAATATTGTGGAATGATAGAAAGGTAGATTAATTAGCATTTTGTTTAATGTTTTTTGGATACTTTGAAAATGATATAATAAAAATGACTCTTATTGCCACATGATGGCAGCATTGACTTTTTTTAACTACATTTATTTTACAGCCTGGAATTTCAACAAAGACCATATTAATGTGTTAAAAGTATTTTGTTTTCCTTCCGTATCTCTTGTACTTCTAATGCTAAGTTTATGTTCTAACAGTATTTTACCTAGGATGCTGGCCTTGCCCAGACTGGTGATGGACTCTCCATAGTGCTTGCGAGGGAGGACAGGAGAAGTACTGGGACTGGGGATGCTCTCGGTGTCTGAAGCTGACTCTTTGACTGGGTTGAGGAAGGTCGGCCTGATCTCATCGTAGTGTGTAGGGTTGGTGGCACTACACCTGACGAATGAAACAAAGCCGTGTGTTTGGAAAGACGAATACTAAAATAGACCATTCTTGCAAAGACAAACAAAAACATGAGGTTCTCACCAGTGTATCTGAACAGGAGCAACGTTGCTATAATGTTTAAGGATGAGAGGCTCCAGCCTGTAAGCCTAAACAGAGCAGAAGAAGTTCAAAAAGCCAGATAGTAACTAGAGACAAGTTAGTTTCAGTTGACATGGTTGATTAGCTAAATGCTCTACAGAGCTTGTTGTGTTGACTTCTCAACAGGAGGAATAAATTTTGACTTCCTGTAACAACAGAGATAATTAGGCGTAACTGACCACAGGGTCAGTGGGATGGAAGACATTAAAGAGCCGGCTGCAGATAGAAGTAGGCAAGATGTGGTCCTGATGGCAGCTGGTACCAGGGCGAATCCCTCTCAAGGCCAAGAAGACGGCCAAAGGAGAACCCATGCAGAAGAAGTTTTCCACCTGTGAGACAAAAGGTACAAAGATGATAAGAAATGTATCAAAAGGAGGTTTTTAGTATTTCTGTTGACAACACAAACGGTGAACGTCATGTTCTCCTATTAAAACATGTGATCATTACATCGGATCAGGGATAAAGTTGAATTTGGTCAAACTAAACTAAGAACGTTTTCAGATTCCTGTTTTTTAACCTACATGTTGATACCTTCACAGCTGTTCCAGACATTTGGCTCGATTTGTCTTGCTAATCACGAAGAGCCCTGGATAAGTGATTTGAATCTTTTTTTTTTTTTTTTGCATATTCTAATGAGGGTTTCTTGACGTCATTTGAAAGAGAAAATCTCAAACCATGTTTGGATGCTTTGGCTTGCATAAAACAGAGCTTTGTTAGTGTCCAGAGAAAATAGTGATAATTTAGGGCTCTTCTGCTCAGAATCATCACACCAGTTGTTGGTCCTGCTCAGTACTTCAAAACCTTTAGGATTATAAAAAGATATTTCCTTCGAGACCCACAGATAGGGTATTCACTACTCATATTTTAACAACATCCATTTAAATAATCATGTTTTTTTATCAGTGAACTAAAGCTGCCTATTTTCTCACTACACTGCTGACTTAATATTTCCTTTTATTTGACAGGTCAATTATATGGACGCAGAAATAGTAAAACACTCAGATGTTTGTAATGGAAATAATACTTTTAGGTTTAAGCCAGTAATTCAAGACAAACTTTAATGACCTAGGTTCTCATGACATGCTGTTTATCAGCAGATATAATGATTAAAGTCAGAACAAGATTTGCTAACAACAATCAATTCTTAGATATCACTTTTGTTTATCTTTGTGTTTTCCCTTGACCCAGCATCTCCTTAGGATGAAATCTTGCTTTATTAAGATGACATAATAGTGTTTGTTTAACAGTATATGTGACCCATCATATCGAAATGAGGATTAAGTCAAATTTGGTCAAAATGACCTCATTACATTTTCAGATTCTTGGCTTTTAAAGCTACATTTTGATACCTGGATCATTCTGATATCATAATTAAATCCATATGTATACTTCATTTGTCTTGTTGGTTACAATAATACATAAATATTTGGTCTGAATCCTAATTTTATGTCATTTTAATGAGGAATTTTTGATGTCCTTATAAAGAGGAAACCTCTATATTTGAATGTTGAGATTTCCCAGCTAAAAAGAAACAAAACTTTCCTAGCTCGCAGGGAAAATCTCAAAAATTTAAGGCATTTTAACTCAAAATCAGGTTTTTTGTTGCTACTGCTCAAAAAAGTGCTTCAAAATTTTGTTTTAGGATTATATTTCAGACAGTTCACTCAATTGATACAATGATAAGGCTTTTATTCATTATATTTTGACAAAATGCAATTTTTGTTAACATTTTAGTGAAAACACAATATTTGCCTATTTCTCCATTTACAACTTTTGGACTTAATCCTCGTTTCGATGTGATGGGTCACATATATGAGGCCTCAACTGCCTCAGAGAAGCAGAAGCAAAAGCAGGAGCAGAGAGCAGTGGGGACAATCTGATGGCTCGATGTTGTTCTCTGTGTTCCTGTTGTTCCAATAAAACTCAGCCGATCATTCCACGGAGTGCCTTCATTCGTGGACCAAGTATTTCTGTCTTTGTTAAATAAATATTTCCATAACATGTTCTAAATAAAATGACTATTATATATTTATTTGTTTGTTTATTTAATTGTATGCTGTTACAGATGTTTACATAAAAAGCATCAACACAGAGCTCCTCACCTTGAATTTGAGAGCTTGGGGCGCTGAAGGTCTGGAGGCTTTCAGTTTCACAAGCTGATTTTCCAGTTCTCGCAACCTGCCAAAAATAAACCAAAAATTTCAGGAATCTCAAGCAAGGTTTTCTTTGTTTTGTCTTTCTTTTTCTTATCAAAATGGAGTGTAAAATGCTAACATCACCTGACCCTCTCTCAATTTGAACTTTTATAGAAAATCTGAGTCACTGATTTGCAGGAACAAGCTTGTACCTGATCTTCGAAAGCCTCAGCTCCTCTAAAATTTGCCTCTCTTCATAAGACTTCCAGCGCATGTCCTGCTCTTCCTCCACTGCACACAGCTCCTGCAGGCAAAAGTGGACGGGATCCCACCCTGTGATGATGTCATAGGCTATGACACAGCCAAGGGAGTGAGACACAATAGACACTTTGCCACCCCTTTCCTCAAACCCAGGGTTCCGTGAGCAGAAGAGCGAGTACAGTCTGTTCAGCTCCTCTGTGAGGCCCTTGGTTATCTATAATAAAAGTGAAAAAGTTTTAAAGAGGGAGATGCTACCAGGCATGTGTTCACAGCTTCTAAGATTGTACAACTCACTTCATCTCGGTAAAGTGGACTGTTGTAGTACATGATGTCCATGGCACTGCTGTTGAGAAGGTCTCGTAGTCCTCTCACTTTGTCTGGCGTGATCGAGTCTACCGTATCTAAGGGAACACGCAAGCACAAAACATACTTATTGCCAAATTTTAAAAATCTGTCTGTTTAAGCAGTTAACTCCAACTTGTTAGGATTATGAGTTGGAATATATTCATAATGTTTTGTTCACTAATCATTTTGACAGGACTGAATCTCTTACAAACCTCCATCTAGAGTGAGTTTGGACCGCCACTCGACAGGTAGGAATTCCACATGTTCATCGTTGTGCTCTGCAAAGTGCTTCTCCTCCATCTTCCTGACTCCCTCCCTTAACCTAAACACAATATGAAAGAAAATAAATTACCACAAAGCATAAAAAAGCTGTACAATTGATATGTATTTTTGCCTTTTTTTTTGTTAAATTTAGACTTGATTCTATTATTACTTCATGTAAAAAGAAGTGAAAAAATATGACAATGGTTCTGACTGAATGAAGGAAAATATTGTGTGATCTGTAATCACTGCAGATTGACGTGAGATTGTTTTTTTTTTTTTATCTCAGACCTAAATGACTTTAGACAGCAAAAGATGTCCGGCTCAATCGTCATTGATGTAACAGCTTCTCCTGTGCAGAACATAAACAATGACAAACACTGCTCCCTACCATAAATGGCTCTGTTTGAGTTTGTATGATTCACTAAACAGACAAAGACAGAAGGAGGGTGATGTTGTGTTGACTTGGAGAAATGTAAACTGAGAGAGGCTTTTGTACCACTAGTCTCTGTATGAAGAACCTGCTTGGTTTTGATAAGACTGTATCTCAAGTGTCAGCAAGAACGTTCAAGGTTTGATTACCCAGTTTTCTGAGCTGCACCCACAACATGTTGATGTAAAAACATTTCAGGCACTCCCTGATCAGGTTCTAGGACGCATTGTCCCTGACTTCAATAATTATCTTTTTCAAGGATGATAAAACTTTGACAGGCAAAGTCCTAGAATTATTCAAGGTTTAAAAAAAAACAACAACAAATATTGTAATTGTTTCTTTTTGTGTTCCTTAATCCAGTAAAAGTTGTAAGTCAGGCTTAAACGTGTTCTGAAGCCTGATTTTGTCTTGTACTTTGCTTAGTCAGCTTAAACTGGGCCAGTGATTAATAGCCAACTTTGGCTTGGGCTGCAGTACTAGAAATGACCTGCAGTAGCAGCATAAGGACAAATACAGATAAATTGAGAGACTGCAGTGCAATTAAGCATACTGCAATCTTTTACAGAAAAGATAATGCCACAAATATTTACTTTTGCTAGAGATCTGAGCAAATTTATAAATAATGTTTGATAAAAAAAAACAACAAGAAATTTAAGCTAATTAGGGTCACATGTATAGTTTGGACTTCCTGTGCTAAAGTTTGGGTAAAACCTTTTTTTGTTTTTATGTTTATTCAGCAGACATTTAACATCTAAAGATTTGATTTTTGACCCTTTCACATTAACTGGAAACATGCATAAAAAGTGGGTTATTGAGAAAAAACAGTATCTCTTTATCTTTCATTAGAAAAGGTCAAGGCAGCAAAATATGTACAATGTTGCAGCCAGGTTTGTTGTGCACACAGCACTGTTTTATGTGACTATCTGTAATAGGGTGGGAAGGAAGACATTTACTGTATCCTGCAGGCCTTAATGGTCAACAATTCATATTTAAGTCTGACTTTTGTTTATCACAAGACAAGCTCTTCTCTTTGACAAGAAAATGAACATTTGCCAAATGAGCAGCCAGCTGGCTCAAACATAAAAATGTCAATAGTCTCCAATGTTTTAACGAGATGGTAAGATTTGTATCCGAAGTACAGAAGTGAAAAGAAGGAGGTGAATGCAAATAATGTGACAGCAAAAAAATAAATAAAAGAACTTGAAAAGAATAGAAAGAAAATATTTGAAAAGATTGAAAAAATCTTTGATTTCCTGGACAATATGCTTGTTTAAATATAAACTGAATGCATAAATACATTCAAGAGAGGAAAGTTCCTCTTTTTAACTGTGACCATGCTCAGTTTCTGATTCTACGTTTAAAAAAAGGCAGAAAAAAAGAGGCATTACAAGGTAATTATGAATCAAGTCATCATTTTACAAACACAGACTCACATTGCAGTGTTTTTAATTATGCGTCCCTGGTCCATCTTCTGTCCAATTCCATGCACCACGAAGACAACGTGTGTAGTGTGAGGTGGTCTGTCTTCTGGTGAGGCCTCCTCAACAAACCCTCGATGGAGCCGTGTGCCACTGCTTGAGGCTAAAACAGGAGTGAGAAGAAGATTTGATACTTAGGTTATAGTGACAAACAGGTTTATTTTAAAAAAAACACTCAAATTAACCATTCTGTGTCCAGCACTGCTGAAAAGTAGACCTTTTCACTCAGTGTCTATTAATAGCTAAGTAGTAATGTTTAGGCTGTGTTGTGTCTAAGCAGGTCAGTAAGTCAGACAGGAAGTCCTCCTGTGACCAGAGATGTGTGGCTGAACTTATGTGACGTTGAGGCTGAGTGTGTGTCTATGATCTAATCAAGCTGTGTGCTACACAAAAAGGTGATAGGACTAGCTGTATGATGAGAGATCCTTTTACAGGCAATTTGTTGGTTAAGAAAGGCTGAGATAAACAGTAACACATCCTCCTCTTACAATCAGCCTGTCAGAGATGAAGATCAAATCAAATTACAGTCATAAATACTGAATAAATCAAATTCTGGGAGGGTAATTTAACATCTTCTCTCTTCCACACACTGAACCAAACAGAGGCCCTGAAACTGATTGTGTAATTATGTGAAGTAACCTAGTGAAAGTGTTTAGTTGTAGACTGTGTTTTTTTATGTTTGCATTGCAAATGCATAATAAAGCAGTACCTCACATCAACAACAAAAGCAAATCTCAATAGTATCATTTATCAACTCTGTAGTTTGAAACCTGAGGTAAGGATCAATGCATTTGAAAAAAAAAAGAAATAAAGAAAAAAGCACAGACCTTTGGAGAATCCCAGTTTTTGGGTGACAGTGCGAGCAATTTTAGAAGTGGTAGCATCGCTGTAAAGGTAGACCTCCTCCACGCTGTGCCAATCCACATGTGTTCGACTCAGCTTAAAACTGTGGATGGCTGTAAGGGGAGCATCAAGAGGGAAGAAATTCAATTAATTCATGGAGAGAGAGGAATTGGAAGAGCATTTGAGACAGGGAATGGGTAATCTGGCAAAGAGAAAGGAAAAAAAAAATCGATAAACACAAAGAAGGAAAAATACTAAGTATAAAAGTTGAAATGTCAAATTATAGACATAACCAAAAATTAGAGATTGAAGTATCAAAAATTACACCAAGTTTAAAGGTAGTCTAAACAGCTCAGTCATATGCAGCCTGAAGCATTGATCTGCATAAGGAAACATAAAAAAACACGGCACACAACATGATAGCATATTTCAGCTCTTGCTTGTCATCCTGCTTCCACGTTACCCAATCAATAATTCCTCATCAAGTGGCTTTTAAAGATAAGTGAACTCTTTTATTCAGGGTTTTCTTCTCAGTGTATTAGGCAGTGACTGAGGCAAGTAATTGCAGAGTTTTGGGTAGAGAGAAACCAAGTGACACCTAGAAAAGCCAAGAGCAAAAAATGGAAGTGGATGACTTGAGAGAGAGAGTTRCAGATCTGCAGCATGTCCTTTAAATGCCTCATTCGGTCAAGTTCATCTGGATGAATTTGTTGAGGAAATTGGCAAAGTTCCAGCACGTAGTTGTGACTCTTTGTACTACTCTGAACCAGAAAGGAAATTAAAACCTCGAAGAGGATCAAGTTCTTGGAAAAATGCTGTGTTCCAACACTTTAGTTTAAACATCAAACAATACAATCTCACAACTAAGGTTCTGTAGGTGAAAACCACTGTTACCATGAACATTTTAACTTACTAAATATATTATTTAACTGTGGATGCTATAAAGCAATGGAGATTTTACCAAGTATTTTCTGTCATGACAGACATCCTCATACTATTTTCATTTTTTTCCTTCATACTCATTCTTCAGTAATTGAAGATTTAATAAATACTGCTAATATTCTGCTTTGATTTACAGAGTAAGCAGGACATATGACAAAATCATCATTATATGCTTTAATGTTTTGCAAAGACCCTGTATTGATGGATGAGGAGTAACACTAAAGTAAAGTGATCTCCAGCACATCTCAAAAATTCACAAAGGGATCAACATCAGGACTTTGTGGAAGCCAAACCATAAGTAAAAAAGCCTGTCATAAGCTCTTTGAATCACTGTTTTACATTTGTATTAATAAATCCTTGGACTGTTTTGGAATGTGTTTGCATCGTCAGGGAAGAACACAAATTTATCGTTGGTGGTGGAGGAGAATTTGCCAATCAGCATTGGTAGTCAGGTGAATTCAGTCAATTTAAAGGGATCCCCGATTAGTTGTAACATTAGACTTTATTTAATAAACATATATTTTAACTGTAAAATAAAGACTGTAAAAATACTGTAGGATATTTAGTTTTATAATTTTTAAACTAAAATTTTAAAAATCTATTTCACGGACGGGGCCATTTTATTTACATGCAAAGCATTCTGGGTAAATGAAGACGTGGATAGGTCATTGGTGAGCGAGCTAAATCCACCCTGAAGGTTAATCTTGGACAATATCTAACGATTGACTCTTCTAAATGAAACCAGAGAGCGTTGACAGAGAGGAGAAGTTAGGAATGACTCAGCCTTTAACTGAAAATGTGGATGGAGGACCTCAGTTTAGCTTGTTTGTTGCACTAGCACCGAGCTAATACATATAAGGCAATATAGCATCGGGGCTAACGCTAAAGATAACAGGCTAAGATGTGGTTCTTCTTCCATGAGGCAGCTCTGTTGTCCTCCATCCATATTTTCAGTTACAGGTTGAGTCATTTCTACCTTCTCCTCTGTCAACACTCTCTGGTTTCATTTAAAAGAGGCAATCATCAGATACTGTTTTGTCCAAGATTAACCTTTAGAGTGGATTTAGCTCGCTAGTAGCCTCGCACTGAGAACCTACCCATGTCATCATTTACCCAGAATACTTTGCATGTAAATAAAATGGTTCCGTCCGTGTTAAAATATATGCCTCTTCTTCTTTTCCTTTTTAAATTGCTCTATAGAACAACACGCACCAACAGYACATCTGGGGGTGGGGGTGTGGGTGTCAGGGTCTTTATTCCCATCCCGTTCCCCGACTGCCATTTGGGGAGGGGGTCCTGAAGAAGGGCGGGCCGCCGGGTACGGTCCTGGGCTGTGGGTGAGCTCGGGGCTTGGACGGTTGCCGGGGGCGGGGCTGGCTCTCCATCCTCCCTTGTGCTGCTTGGTCTCCTGAGGTGTGGCTCTTGGTTCCTGTGGGTAGCCCCCTGGCCGGGGTGGCTGCCGGGTTCCGGGGGTGGATGGCTGGGGGGGTGCACTTGGTCATTGGCGGTGTGGTGGGGTGGTCAAGGGTGTGGCTTCTCTGCRGCGGGGGGCTGGCCGGGCGTCCTGGTGCGGCCCGGGCCGTGCCTTGGCTATCTGCTCCTCTCCACCTCAGAATGATTGGGTCTACCTCCTGGGTTCGGGTGTGTGCTGCCTCCAATAGGGGGTGGGTGCATGTCTTGGACCTAGGAGTGTGTATCAGGGGTATGAGTGGAATGTGGCGTCCTTGTATATCTTTGATTGAGTGGGGGTGAGGATGAGGGTGGGATGGTGCGATTG